TGATGCTTCTCCATGCTGCAGACGGGGACTGAGGGGGACACAGATGTGTTGGGGGTGCTGAGTGAAGGCTCAGCCCTGTGGGCAGCTGATATCGGGATGCAGGACTGACTCCTGGGTGGCTGTGGCCGCGGTGGGGGTGCAGGGCCCGCCTGGGCGTGGTGGCGCTGTCTGTGGTTTGGTCCGGCCAGCAGGATCCCCACAATCCTTGGACGGACAGCACCCTGGCTGAGGAGGATGAAACTGTAGCTGCAGAGATTTAGATTAGATATGGAGGGGAACTTTCCAACTGCCCAGGCTAGAAGGAGCTGGCCAGAGGGGCTATGTTCCCAAGGGATGTGGGGCATTTTTCCAGCCTAGTGTAGCTCAGAAAAAAGGAAAGACAGCCAGGGTCCTGGGCTGGCCTCACTGCAGCTTGGGTCAGAGATGGTCAGTGGGTTCGGGGTCAACAGCAGCCCCTGCTCTGAGGAGGCTGTGACCTAGGCTTTGTCCCCCTGCCCAAAGCCCTCCCAGGGCTCTCAGCTCTGTTTGCCGAGCTGCAAGGCCAAAGCCACCCTGGGGCTCCCGAGGCTGCCTGGGATCTGTGCTCTGCCATCTTCTTTGCCCCCCAACTCCTTTATGCTTCTGGTCCATCATCTTTCTGTACCCCACCCAGACCTGTGCCCCAGGCTGCTCAGCCTTCCCAGCTCTGGTCACCGCAGCAGGGTTAGAGCGGGACCTCGGCACTGCACTACACACCCTGGACCATAACGGTCCCTGGTGTGTCTCCGCTGGGCCGGGAGCCCCTGAGGGCCGGCGCTGCCTGAGTGGCTATAGTGCATGTTGCCAGAGCAGCATCTGGAACACAGCGGATAGAGGCTGAGCAGCAGGGTCAGGGAGGGGAGAGGGCTCGGCCCGGAGTCGCAGTTCCACGACTCCTGCTTTCGGGGCAGCAGGAAACACCTGCACGCAGAGCACAGTGACCTCGGGGAGACTGTCTCTCTGCTGTGAGTCCGAGGCTGTACCAGCTGCCCCATGCGGTGGGGCTGTGCTGAGACTCGGAGAGGACAGCAGAAGGATGGGTCCCACAGTCAGCATTTGAGAGGTGGCTGTGCCAGGCTGACCGTCCTGTCCTCTCCTTCCAGGTGACAGCCATGTCGGTGAGGGTGCGGTTCCTGTACCCTGGGGACGCCGGGGCCGTGGGGGCTGTGGGCCGCAGCGCCTCCTTTGCGGGCTTCAGCGGCACACAGAGCTGGAGGATTGCGTAAGTGCCCCCCATCATGCAGTGTCCTGTATGCGGGTGGGGATTATTGGGGGGACAGAAAAGACGGGGCCACCAGTGACCCGAGGCTCCCTTTCATGTCCCGATCGGAGCCGGGAGAATGGAGGGATAGGCAGAGAGACATTCAGACACACTCAGGGCTGCAAGAAACATATAATTTCCTTGAGATCGGGCAGTTACCATCGCAAATGCTCCGAAGTCAATCTGGCTGAGCATGTCAGGTGTACGTGGCAAAATGAACTCAGAGCAGTGAGTCCCCTAGCCCAAGGTCACATAGTACATCTGCTCCAGAGATGGGACTCTGTCTCCTGAGGGCGGGTTTAGGAAGGAATGTTCTTCCTGTTTGGTACCCTGGGAAGAATGGGGCTCTCCTAGCTCTGTAACCTGGGGCAAGTGACTTCATGTCTCTGAGCCCTGGCTTCCTCATCTGAAAACTGGGAGTCATACATGCCCTTCCCTCCCGTGTTGTCACCACAGCCATGAGCTCACCCCATAGATCTGGGGTGAGAAGTCCCTTGGGAAGGGGGCACTGCAGCCCATGACCCAGCCTGGCCGCCCAGAGTCTCGTGTGGGCACTGTGTTACTTTTCTCTCGTTGCTGAGACAAAATACCTGACACCCAAAGTTAAAGGAGGAAAGGTTTATGCAGTTCAGTGTGTATAGGTTTGAGTCCCTAATCGGCTGGCTCCAAGGCAGGGTCCATCACAGAGGAGAAACAGTCCACGGCAGGCAGAAGGCAGCAAAAGCAAGCAAACAAGGGGCCTTAACAGCATCTCCCTGCCCCTCTTGTCTTATCCAGGCTGCTTGGGGCAGGGAGCACTCATACCTTTAATCCCAGGGCCCACGAATCAATCCCAGCGTCACACACTCCAGACCCAGCCACCTCTGAACAAGCCCCAGTCATGCTGCATGAGGCTTTGGGGGGACATCCGGACACAGCCATCACAGGCGCTGTGCCAGCCTCCAGGGAACCATCCCCCAGCTGGCGAGCCTGGGGGCTCCAAGCCTTCACCTGTCTAACAGGATGGGTGACAAGTGGGGTCCCCAGCCACAGCAGGGTGCAGAGCCTGACTGGTCAGTGAGTGGGCAACAAGCATGTCCCCTGCTGCCACAGCCCTGCTTGGAGCCCCCAGTGTCCCCTACTACTTAGGTCAGTTACATTTTATTGTTTTGGGTGCCAGAGATTGTTATGCTGGTGAGGTGGGTGGAGGCGCCACTGAGCTGAATCTCCGGCCCCTCCCCCAACTACTTAGGAAGCAGCCCACGCCCTCCGCGGCCAGCCGAGGCCCCATGAACGCCCCCAGCCGTATTCCTGCTCCTGCACACCAGGCAATGACCTCCCCTCGGGTCTTACCTGGAGCCTTTGTCCTGCTGCTGCTGCTTCTGCAGGCCCCGGTGTCCTGCAGGCCCCAGGGGAGGACCCTGAGCCCCTTTCCACGTTCCCTGAGCTCTGGGTTCCATGGCTGCATGATGGACCCTCCCTAGGGGCCCAGGCCTGAGGTCTCCCCGACTCACTCACCTGGCACAGGCCGCCCATACCCAGGTGTGCCCGAGAGACTGCCACACCTCCATCCGGCTGGAATGTTGGTACCTCAGCTGGGAGCGCCCTGCGTCCTCAGCAGATGTGTAAGGAGACCTAGGCCATGCCAGGCTCTGGGGACAGAGCCCACCTCCTAGTGAGGGGTGGGTAGCAACCATAAGAATACAATGATGAAGACAGATTCGGCCTCAGCAAGGGGTACACGGGACCAAGAAGAAGGTGTGGGGAGGATGGCCAGCCTCCCAGCAGGGCTGGGCAGGGACATGAAAGGGCAGAAGAAATAGGTCCTGAATAGGTAGGGGTAGGGAACCCTTTAGGTGGACAGGAGGTCCTTCAGGTGCTGAGGTCCTGAGGCAAATGGACCTTGAGAGACAGCAAGCGAATGTGTGGCCGGCACCTGGAACCCTGCTCAGAAAAGAAGAGGGACCCATGGACCTTGTGGCTGCAGAGAACTGAAACATGTTCTCAGTCGAGGGGCCACGAAGGGCTTCGGTGGAGACTTTGGGCGGGATAAGATGCAGTCAAGGACCCAGAGGGAGGAACACCCAGTGTCCCAGAGTTCAGGCACGGAAAGGAAGTGTGGGGCTCCTGTGATGGAGCCACTCAGCCAGCACCCTGTTAGGTGGGAGGGCGGCGGTACGGCGCTGGGGTCACACTGCTTCTGAGCTGCCTCTTCGGGGACTCCCGGTGTCCTCACCCTGGGGGTCCACTTCAGGGCTGGGGGCCAGCTGTGCAGCCCCGCGGTCCCTAGGGGGAGCCCCATGCTCTCAGCACTCTGGGGGAAAGAGGACAGAGTGACCTGGTCCCCGACACTCAGGCTCAAGGGCCACCATCCCAGGCCAGCATTGTCCATGTCCCAGACCAAGCCCTTCCTTGTGCTTCCTTAAGGGAGCTAGAAAAGGCCGGGGCCAGCTGGTCCGGGGTCCCTGAGGGGCCACCTTGGGGCCTCCACCCCTGCTGTCCCCCCGCCCAGGGGTAAGAAAGGAAGCGACGGAAGGAAAAGCGTCTGTTTGTACTTCTGTCCGCATCCACTCCCTGGGTCTGGATCCTTGGCACTGCCCCTGGCTCCAGCTGGGCTGCCTGGCTTGGGTATCAGGGTTCACCTTCCGGCCTTATTTCCAGGTAACCTAACCAGGCTGCCCCGGCACTCAGCTCGGGGTGGGTCAGGAAAGTGACTGTGGACAGGGGAGCAGGGCTCTTTTAGATACCAAGGGCTGAGGCCTCCCTCGGTCCAAATGCTCCCCACCCCCATGTTGACTTGGACAGTTTTTTGTTTGTTTATTTGTTTTTCCAGTACCAGGGATCAAACTCAGGCCCTTGCATTTGTGAGGTGGGCACAGGGCTACTGAGCTAAATCCCTGGCCCAGGACAGCTTTTAAATCCACAGAGAATTCACTTGGAAGTAATCTCATAGTAGACTTTTATACTAAGTTGTGCATGATTGCCACAGTAAGGCCATTCCCGTTTTTTAGGCCCTGAGGGAGGGGTGCAGGCAGACCCTGATATTGTCCCCTTCTCCCCCAACTGAGGCACAGCTGCCCTTAACCCCTGTCCTGCCCTGCCCCTTCCCAGGCTGTTGCGTGGACTCCTGCTGAGCCAGGGGCCCCTGCGATGTCCTGGCCTCCCTGGCAATGCTTCTGTTGCGTCTCCTGGCACGTATGGGTGTAAAAACGAAATCTTCAGACAGAGCTCAGGGTCCAATGGCCCCCAGGGCCCTGTGTGTGGAGGAAAGGGCCTCCTGGGCGGGTCTGTCCTCCCCGCCCATCCACTGGAGCCCATCGGTTGCGAGGGCTGGGGCTGGGCGGGTGCGGCGTGGAGCT